TGTTCGTGTCACGGTTTTGTTCCACCCTTGGAACCGGTCTAAAGTTCGTTACTGATAGAAGCCTACCTGGGTATCTTGAATTGTTTGACAGCCTCCATTGATAGCTATCTGTACGACTTTGTTGTTAAGTTTACCGTATTCCTCTAGCCTCTAATGATGGAATAGTTGCACATCAATTTGGCCATGACATCCATTCATAACTGTCTCCATGAATAACTCCATAAATGACTCCAAGAATGGCTCCAAGTATGACTCCATTGAGTGACTCCACCGATGACTCGATGAATTCACTGCTCGTGTCTTGAACATCGCACTTGGAGCGCCAGAAGTTACTTCACATGTGCTGGCGATAAAATACAACGTTCTCCCCTGCTTGCAAACTCGTCAAACATCTTGGAAAGACTTCTCAATCATCGACCATCCGTTTACTGTCATACTCGCAACTGGAAGCACTGCACTCATCAAACATCATGTTTTCAGGCCTATTTTCCTCCCGGAAGAAACCCTACCCTAAAGCCACAGCGGAAGGAAAGAAGTCAAAACCACCCAGAAGTTCTTCTGAAAAGACAACAAGAGACCGCGGGTCGGACAAGCGCAAATCATCACGCCGCGTATCGGTTGAACGGCCGAAATTTCCTGAAGCACCTATGCCACCGCTCTCGGGTGGCGCATGGAACAAGCCCGCAACAGATTCTGAGCATAGTAGCTCGCGACGGGGCCACTATACGTCCACCCAGCGGGATGGCGGCGTAGCAGGAGGCAGCAAGAGCCGTCACCGGCGTGGCGACCGTAGCGATAAGGCCCCAAGAAACGACAATAGCCGGAACTATAGCTCTCGCCATCGATCAGAGGATCCAGGCGCGAGCCATGCCTCGTTCTCTCATGGCTATAGGAAACACGAGCAATATGAGAAGTACCATGGGGAGTTCGACGGAGGCTACGACAGCGATGAGATTTGGCCCACAGATCCGGCAATCAGTGTGGGCGAAGCAAACTGGAGGAAAGCAAAGGCGGAGAACAGGGCCGGCCCAGCGATAGACAGAAAAGGGTTTCCGATATATGTCCCAACCGAGGAGAGTTTATATACTCAAGGCCAGGAAACTTTCCACACTGAACATGTGTCTCCGAGCTGGAAGAGAGATTAGGGTAAAGCTTGAGCTTCGTGGAATGGTTGATTGTTGTAGTAGAGAAGACAGGCTCTCATACTATTGGTCTAGACATCTCAGGGTAGATCGTGAACGTAGATGTCTGGAATGGCGCGTGTCGTATGCCCCCTTGAGTTCGTCCGCGGAATTTCAAATGAGACTTGATAATACCGGTACACCGTGTCACTTTGTAGCGAAAGATGATAGTAAGACTGGTGAAGAATGACGGTAGAAGACGTAGCTTATCAAGTTCCACGTATGCTTAAAGGACTCTCGTAGTTGTTACTCATACCAAGCACGTAGTGCGATTCACGCGTCGCTTCTGTCATCCGTGAGTCTTGCTTTACTCACTAATATATCGACACTGTCAAAGTCGACATTGACACAATAAGTGAAGGCGGTTCAGGACTCCATGACTTGCATTCAGTCGAGGATGACGATTCACATGAAGCTCATTCAAATATGCCGTGGGACACCTTGCTTTCTCTATCGCTGTCCAGCATGCTGTCTTTCTGATAATCCAAATTCGAAGATATTCTTTGATGCACAAACTGCCCCCAAGTTAACAATGAGCTTCTCCGCGACCCACGTAAATAAAACAGCAAAAAGATGGATCCGTGACGAAGAACACGGCGCTGAACGCAAAGATCTTCGCGTCAAGAAACCTGAAGACTTCCACAACGACAGAACGAAAGGTCATAAAGCAAAGAGTCGCGAACCAAGTCAATCTACGTCTAGTATACCGGCATCAGTTGCCCCACTGCTTTCACCTGCCGTACATGCACGAAGCGCGACTTCAGCAAGTGCGGCACCAAGCCATCTCCAAAGGACGACCTACTCACGACCCGTACCCGGGGATATAACTTACAGTCAACATGCTGTGAGACCCGTCAGTGGCGCTCAAACTCAAGGACCCACAAGACTGAATCTCACGACTCCATCGCACACCCGGAGCGTCGCTCATAGTACTCATAGCACCTACCCCGCGAGCATGATCAACGACGCTAAGAGTTATATGAGCACCAGCAGTGCCGTGCAAAATACCGTACCTCCAGTCCGTCACTCACATCCTCCGCAAGATGTACCATCACCGTCCCAAAATTCGAATGGCTCTCGCACCCCAAGCGTTGCAAGTGTAGCTCCGAGTACGGCCTCGGGGAGGCACCTGGCTGTGCTTCCGTCAAGAGATAGCTCTCGCGCACTGAGCGCTGTAGGCGCCACTCCCAGCAAGGTATCCGAGACATATCCGTCTTTGCCTCCCTCACGAGATAGCTCTTGCGCCCCTCCAAGTAGGGTACCCGAAAGCACGACGCCTGCGTCTGAGTCAAGACTTCTAACGTATCGCGCCCCAAGCGTTGTAACCGTCACATCAAGTACGATATCAGACCAGCACCCGCTTTCACATGCGTCAACTGCTTCAAGCGTTATACACAGTTTGCAGCCGTCTCGTGCTCCGAGTGTCGCTAGCGCCACCCGAAATACGGTATCGGAGGACCGTCGTGTATTACCCACGCCTGAATCTAGCAGTCCTAGTATCGCACCGAGCGGCGTCAGCGTCAAAAAAGAGTCGCCGGAATACCTGCAAGAGAGCCACACCCGGGATCTTTCGCGAGCGCCGTCCTTACAAGCCCCATCTTCACGAGCCCCATCGTCGCGACCTCCATCGTCGCGAACGCCTAGCGTAGCACCAAGCATTCGAAGCGATTATGTCAGCAGCACTGTCAGTGCCGCTCGACTCCAGGCGGACGAAGGGTACGCTGAATCTGTAATCAGCTGCGCCCCAAGCGAAGTGAGAAGCAGTGCAAGGAGCTGTAGACCAAGTGCTGTTCCGCCCAGCGAAGTATATACCTCTTCAGTCTGCGGAAGAGCTCCCAGTATCGCTGCAAGCACCAGGAGTAGTGTCAAATCGAGTCGCAACGAGCGAGATGTCAGCGTCGCACCGACAGCTAGAAGTCGTGCGCGCGAGGAAGACTACGAGCCGAGAACACAAAGCCAGTCGACCTCGAAGCGAGCCTCGAGTATCAAACCTGATCGGAGTGAGCGAGGCGGCAGCATCGCGTCAAAAGCCAGGCGTTATATCGAAGTGGATGACTATGAGTCCAGTGGCGAACGCGAGCCGACTTCGAGACGAGCCTCGAGTAAAGCAAGCAGTTCTAAAAGTAGCCGAAAAGCATCTCGTGATGACCGTGGTCGTAGTACTACATCTCGCACTAAAGGGCCCTGCAATGAGTTAGTCAAGGTGAAGGTGACTTACGAGGAACACGAAGACAACAGAACCAAAAGTCGAGCTCGATCCGGACGTAGCGAATCTGCTTCCACACGTCGGAGCAGCTCGTGCTCAAGCACCGAAACCATCCGAGCACTCCGGCCAGGCAAAGACAATGCGCTGGTAGCGTACCGCGACAATGCCCTGCATACTGCCGAAGCCTCGAAAGACTATGGGCGTCGTAAGTCATCCAGACGCAAGAAGAGCTCGGCAATGAGCGTCGTTTCGGTTTCCACCACCGCTGGATTGCCTGTAATGCGCCCAGACCCATCGGATAGCGAAGCAGAACAGGCATCTGGGAAGAAAGGTCAGCGGTCGCATCATAATAGACAGCAGCAGCAGCCTTATCACCCACAGCCGTACACGCAGCCATATCCACCGCAGTATGCGCAGCCTTACCCCGGACAGCAGCAATATCCCCAACAGCAACCACATACCGCTCCCGGTGCATACGGCTATCCAAACGAATATCCGCAATATACACACTATCAGTATCCAAATCAGCAATACCCAAACCCGCGGTATACACATCCACCGCCCACTGCTCAATCATACTTTCCAACTGCGGATGCAAGTTATCCGTCGCCGTACGTGAAACCTACGCCTCAATACGGAACGGGGTATGAAAAATTGGGCGAAGAACTTGAGCAAGGTCGGAGAAGCGGACGTTTACCCAAGGCCAGGGATAGGCGACATGAGAAAGTGGGCCGGCCTCGGAGGACAACTCGCTTGGAGGGAAAGTATGAAGAGCCACCAGAGGTATATGAATCGCAGTATGATGATGGCGAGTTCCCTGACCGTTGGTTTGACAATTAGGCTTGATGGGTATCCGTGGTTAATGGGGTTAAAGGTTGAAGTATATCAGGTATGCCATGGCGTACGCTGTTTCGTAAAGCAGGAACGAGAGTTGCAAACTAGGTGCTGGATCATCTGGGAATCTCGAAGTAGAGGAAGGCGTAGATTTGGTGATCAGGTAGACTCATCGATAGGTGCGTTACGCAAAGACTGGCTTGTGAGTCACTTTGCGTTAGTCATGCAGAGCATCTCGTTTGATACAGAATGAACTTACCCTTGCTATCATGCTCTAGACTGCTTCTCGAGGATCTTGCACTTCGCGAAGTCAACACGTATTGTAGTGCGGTGTGATACGTACAAAGTTGCTCATCGCTGCCATTGTGATCGATATCGCCGTGTATGTCACTCAACGTTGCAATGGAAGGGACAGAGCAATAGAGAACTTGAAGCCAGTCACCGAAGTTAACCCCAGAAAAACATAAATGCAAAAACCATAAATGCCTTGACTGTGAACTTTCTGAACGACGTATGTCGCACGGCCTGCCAATCTTGTCAATAATATGCACATCCAATGTCGACCCTTGAATGCACGATGTCACATACCGTCTGCGAAGAGCGCATACTCAGCTCCATATACCTATAAATACCACATCAGAGTACTCGTTCTTTCTCCATAACACATCATACAGCCCTTAATTCGATATCTACTTTCGTTGGAAGCACTTTCTCGACCTACACTATCAGTCAAGACTCGTATACCTTCATCAAAGAAATCCCTCGTAGACATCACCACGATGCCAACCTTATACCTGAAATCAAATAAGAAGCCAAATGAGAAGCATGAAGTCTTGAACGTCAATACAGTCACCAAGAAAAAATATAAAGTGCGCCCCAAAGTTGTCAACAAGAAGACGGACATCTTTAGCGTGGTGAGCAAGAAGAACGGGCCTAAACGGGAAAACGCAAATGTCCAGGAGAACGAGCACCACACTCAGAGCCACGCCGAGACACTCGCTAGGCAGGCCAACAAGGAAGCCACGGAAAAGCTCGAAGCTAAGATCGGGCGCGACTCAGTTCGCCAACACATTCTAAGACCTCAAGAGTACAGATCCGCCCCCGGCCAAATGGATTTCAAGAACAGGTCGGCGTGCGAAACCAGGGATTACGATTTATCGGGAAGGACGGTTTTCTTTAAGCGTTGACTAGACGTGTGAGGGTGGGTGGAAGAGTCTTGAGTGCCGGCACTCTCGGCATCTTGTTACTATCATGGGCGATCGTGGATTCTGCGGCGTCGTGTTTTGTTGTTCGCGGAATACAGTTCAATTTCGGAGGCGTTTGGCGTAGAGTGGATTGTGCTGGTTTCCATTATATCACGGGTATCGTCGATGGATAGGATGTCACGGAGAACTGTGATTGTTAGTAGGATATTTGAAGCTTGCTGCATCTTCACCATTTCGGTCGTGGGCCATATAGTGCCACTGCGCGTCTCCGTGCCAAAGCACTTTTCTTCTACTCATCGACGATCCTGAACAAAAACCCTTCCTATTGACGGCAGCTTCGAAACCTCACCAATCGCGTCTTCTGTTTAACATCCAACTCCTGTGTCCATAGTGTCAACAGCATGGGCTTCTTCAAGCGACTCTTCGGGGGAAGTAGGACGCCGCCTCCTATTCACTTCGGTAAGGTATTCAGAATAGCCTACTAGTTCACTGTTAAATAAGCAGGTTCATATTCTGCATACGGTGGATACCCTGCACATGGAGGGTATCCTACATATGGAGGATATCCAGGATACGAAGAACCAAGACGCGGAAGGAACGTGTACGATGACGGTTACGATAGTGATGAGAGCCATGGTGGTTATCGATATGGTGCTGCTCGGCGACGATACCGCCACGGGCCAGAAAGACGTGGTAAGTGGCATTCAATGAAACGTTTTAGCATCCAGTATTGGATCCATACCTCCTCTTCCATTGTCCCAACAGTCATCATGCCTCAGTATAAGATCGTTGTGGCTCTTCCTTTCTTCCTATACCCAACGCATCCTCACCAAGAACCATGGCACGGACGAAGAAGTTTTGGGTACGCAAGCATGTCCCATCAATCTGGGAAGAATGGAGCAACAGCCGGCGAGCTCATCAAATAGACCAGAGAGCCAAACACCCCAGGCCACGCGAAGAGATGATAGGAATGCCAAATCGTACAACCTGTCATGTAGTAAGCAGAACCTACAGGAAAGAGCTGACCATGAGACAGACAACCCGGCCGGCGGTCCACCAGGCTTCGTACCCGTTGGCAATAATAACAATAGAGGCAACAATGGTAACGTTCCTGCCCCGCGGCGTGCTCATAATGCACCGAACCAAGCACCACCAGCTCGAGGTCCGGGGGTTCAGGGCCAAGGTCAGGGCAATCCTCAACCGCCGCCGCCGCCGCCGCCGCCCCAGCAGCAGCAACAGCAACCCGAGTTCCTACAAGTGCCCCCTGTGAACAACGCCCGCGGCCCACAACCCGCAGAGGCGGATCCTCATCTGCAGCCAGGAGGGCAAACCGAGTATGGTGAGCGGCCACGAGGGCAGGGCCGAAGCGAGTATGCTGACGCTGAACCCGCTGTTCCTGATGGCGGGCGGGGCGGAGGCGCGCCTGACAATGGACCGCCTCAGCACCCGTGGATGCCAGAGACACGGTTCTATAATCAGCAGCAGACGCGAAGGAGAAGACAGTGATGATGACGCAAGGTGAAATGAAGATGGAATGAAGAGGATGGGTGATGAGAGTGGAAGGCGCACTGAGCGCTCAAGCTGGTATGATTAGCTATGTTTGTAGTATGCAACTCGATATACCTTCTTCGAAACGACTGCAATGCATCATAAAGAAGAACCCGACAGCGCGCGTGGTGTGATGACAGTGACAAGACGCGAAAGAGTGAGAGTGAAGGAAGGTTGGTGCGGCCACATAGGGAAGGTCTGGCCGCGGGCTTATCGATTAGGCCGCGCCCATCTCCAAAATTTCCACCAGCAGTCCGACACCAACAACACCAGCAACACCGCCAAACAACGCCCACGATGCCGAAACGAAAGCGCGAAACGACTGCCGCCGCCGGGAACCTCCCTCCTCCCGTGATAATGAACCCCGCGAAACAAGCCAAGTACTGCCAAAAGCGCCTCGAAGATGCGCAAAAACCGCTCCTCCAAGCTCTGCGCCATGCTTCACAGCTCGAGCGCCAGAAGTACAGTCGCAGAAAGAAGTATGCGACCAAGAAAGGCCAAAAAGAAGCAGTGTTTCGATTGAACGCCGAGTACAATGTCCTCAAGGCGCTCAACTTGGAGCAGCTGGGCGACCAGCATTTGCGCAAAACTTTGTCACGGGTCAAAAGCTTGAAGGATGCGGAGCCACTACAAGAATACATCTCCGGCATCAGAGAAGGCAGCAAGGATACCAGCACACTGAATGTCACCGCGAGGATGTTCAAAGTCGTACAGGTGAAGAAGGCCGTGGATCAGGTTATCGAGGACCTGAAGGGCATACTTGGGGTGGACAAAGCCAAGGACAACGAAAAGGTGGAGGAGATCGTTAAGGAATACACGACGGAGGAGATGAAGAAGCACAAGGAAGAAAAGATGGCGAGGAAGGCGCAGAGGGCGAAGGCTGCTGACAAGGACGACGTGGAGATGAAGGACGCGAGCGACGAGGCGGACGACCCGTACATGGCCTTCAGCGCGCGGATAGCTGAGCCGTCCTCGGGAGAAGAAGACAACGAGGGCTCGGTATCCGGCGATGAGCGACCGCCGAGTATCGCAGACAGCGAGAGCGAACACGACCCTGACGCCGATCTGGAAGCTGCAAGCGACAGCGAGGACGAAGCGGAAGAAGTCGCGCAACCCGACGACACCAGTGACGACGAAGAAGACAGCGATACTGTAGCTATCTCGCGAACAGTAGCTCCTGCCTCCGACGAGTCCGCCGATTCAGCATCAGACTCCGACTCCTCCTCTTCCGAAGCCGCCATACCCACAAAGAAGACTAAAACCAAAGCCGCCCTCGAAAAGCCCACCTCCTCCGCCTTCCTTCCCGCCCTTAGCCACGCCGCCTACTTCTCCGGCTCCGAATCCGAAGCCTCCGACCTAGACGCCGATAACGCACCGCGTAAAAACCGTCGCGGCCAACGCGCCCGCCAAAAGATTGCGGAGGCGAAATTCGGCGCCAAAGCCAAACATCTCGAGAAACAACAGCAGAATGTGAAATTCGATCCCAAACGCGGTGCTGTTGCCGGTGACGACAAGCGACAACGACGGGGCAAGCCGCTGGGTGGTCGGGGTGTGCAGCAGAGTGGAAGTAATGCGGAGCCGTTGGGCAGGAAGGATGATAAGAAGGATAGGAAGATGGGGCTGGGTGTTAAGAGGGATGATAAGGGTGAGTTGCATCCTAGTTGGCAGGCGGCGAAGTTGGCGAAGGAGAGTAAGAAATTGAAGATTGATCTTGGGGGTAAGGGGCCTGCGGCTGGGAAGAAGGTGGTTTTTGATTAGATTAGATACCCCAGAAAAGTTTGTGCGGGTGGGTTGTTGATGAGAGGGCTGTTTCGTGCATGATATGTCGTAAGGGTCGTTGAAATCTTGATCGTGTGCAATGGATGTTTAGCAGAGGTATCATTCAGCTTCGGTATAGAGACGTCAAGGTTTTCGATGAAGAGAAGGACGAGAAGCCAATTCTTTACGCATTACGCGGTATGAACTAGCTATGCTACGATATACGTCTGCTTCAGCCATACCATCGTTATCAACCCTCAATCCTAAGACCAATCATCGAACCCTTCATGTCAACGGCATCCTCATCGCTACGCAACCGTAAAAACGACCGGATCACCGACACAACTGCGGGCAGTAGTCCAGACAAGTACCGCGATACCGTCCATGCCGACCGTCTTCAACAAGATACCTCTTCATCCTGTTGAGGCATTCATGGCGGCAGTAGTTTGTTCTGCAGTGATGGTTCTACGGCAGTGTTAGTCAGTGTGAGGAGGAGAGGGCGCCGGGGAGTGGGAGTGGGGAGTAGTGGGTTTGACCCACTTTGAAGCAATCATCGCGCATCCTCCTACATTTTGTGCAGGGGAGGTCGGTTTTGTTGACGAGGTCCTGGGGTTTGTTAGTAGATGATAGTGGAAAGGGGAGGGGTCTACGAGGGACTTACGGCGTCGATGTTGTCTTCGTCGGTGTTCTCTTCGTCGGTCTCATCACGGGAGACAATGGTCTGAGCGACACACTGGGGCGCGGCGCCGCCAGTACATTTCTCAGTCGCTTCGCAGACCTTGCTGTTCACCCACTTGCGGCTATAGCAGCGTTGGATGATGTGCCGCTTGATCGGATCGAGGTACGCGCACTGCAGAGTCCCTTCAAGACAGACCTGTTGCCTGGATGAGATCTCGTTGGCGGCGACAACAGGTGTCTCGTCCTTGTCAGCGATCTCACCATTGATGGTCGCGAGGGTACAGTGAGGTGAAGGGTCCGAAGTACAGATGACCCCGACGTTGCAGATCTCGACATCAACCCAGTTGTGGTTGATGCAGCGCTTGATGGAGTGGCGGCCGAGGAGGATGATGGGGAGGATGGAGCACTTCTCGTCGCCGTTGCGACAGTCTCCGCTGACGGCAAATCCGGTCAGATCGTCGGAAACGCCCGTGATAGCGGCGCCTGAGGCGATCTCGAGGAAGCCTATGAGGGCAAGGAGGAAGATGGTGAGGAGCTTCATGATGAGCCGGTAGTGTGTAAGAGTAGGAATTGATCGAGGAAGTAGTGTAAGGGATGCGCAGAATAGTTTGTTGAGGAGAAGGTATTTGAGAGAGATCGCGATATCACAAGCTACTGACTATAGGTGTAAAAAGAATCTGCGCTGAAGTTGGCCAACAAAATCGAGGTGAAGGCGACGAAACACGTCAGAGTGTCGCGCGCTTTTCTCCAAAACTTGCTCATGGCGGCTGGCGCGTGTTTGATCTGTTGTCGTGGAAAAGGGTAGTGAAAACTGCCCAGCAAGGCCCGCCCTTGGTGGCTGTGGAATGCCGCGTGGTGGTCATCCATTCTGCCCTCGCGCTGACTTTGGACGGTAACATGATAAAGCATTTCTTAAGGTGGCAATGTCGCTTTCCAGACTATCGTGTAAATTCTAGGTGCGTCCGATCAGCGCGTCGAGTTGTTTTGAGGTTGTTTGTTGTCGCTTTGGGAAAATGGCGTGGTCGAAGACGCGTGGTCACGTGGTCAACATGTCGCGTGTCGCTCGGCTACACCGCCATTGGCTGCGGCTTGCTTTCTCATCTCGTGTTGTCGTTTCTTTGTTCGCACCACACCCGTCGTAATCATGTCACAGAAAGAAAATTCCCGGGATTGGGTCCGCGGGTATCCAGAAAAAGGTCGCCCGTACCTAGGTAGGGTTAGATGGTTCAAACACCATCACTATCCACGAACGCGCGAGTGGCCGCTAGTCTCCTGGGACGGGTGTGACCGCGAAGGTGACTTGTACGTCGAGGAGCAACGTCGACGAATCGACCCCGATATGCCAACAGGCCGGCATCCCCTTGAGCGTTTTTCGTTGATAGTACACTCAGCGGAGTACTTGGAGGAAGCAATTCTCGATCACGATCGGATTGAGATGGTGTATTTTCCGCGGTGTGTTCGTGTCACGAAGTTAGTAATCTTCCTTACAGCGTTACATGCACGTTCCGCTGACCAGACATCATAGCCGGATGCTACGGGACATCACCGAAGCTCCATATGAGTTTCAATTACCGATCCGGATGATATATCTCGGCGACCCCTTGCGCGAAAAGGCCCTAGAGATTACAGACGATGTGGTTGCAGCCATGATTGAAGCGCTGCCGAATTTGAAGCATGTGCGCATCGATGGTGCCCCAAAAGTTTGCGACCTCACACTTTCGGCGTTGCTGAAATGCGATGATATACGAACCATCACTCTGACCACCACTCGTGATCGACCAAATATCCTAAGGAGAAAAACGCTTGAGGACGGACCATGGCCACCGAAGCTTGTGTATCTTGAACTTAGTGGCCAGCAACTACCCGCGAGCATTATCTACTACTTCGAATTTTGGACGAGCAAGATGAGAGATGTGGAAATTGGAAAGAGCCTGGAAATCGTCTACAACTTCGAAAAGTACTACATCTTCTGGCGTGATGGGTTTCCGCGATGGTGCAAGGATTGGCGGTTCGAAAAAGAGGGCGCATGGGCTCCCTGGACTGACGCTGCACTGGGGCTTGAATCTGACGAAGAATCTGACGAGAAATCTGGCGGGCAGTCTTAAGAGGAATCCGATGAGGAATCTGACGAGGAATCTGACGAGGTATCCGACGAGTTTTCCGGCTAGACTGGCAGCGGCATGTAATGCAAGGGAAAAACTTTATGAGCACGCGAAGTCTACATCAGTATCGAAAGGCAAAGTCATCGGGCAATGTAGCCTCACAAGCCCCTCTCTTCCATGGATTGTACGCTGTGGGAGGCAACGTTGAAAGTGTTCATTTTTTCTTCATCCAATGGGGCAATTGGAGCGTTCTATACATACGTATCCCTCCGTGACTAAGTATTGTAGTATTGGACTCGTAGTTTACTCTTCAGTCTTCATCATCTCGGCCGGGTGGCGCAGTGCAACGCGTCGCGTCATTAAATGCCCCTGAACTGCGCCTCAAAATCATCGCTTAAGGGGGGCTGTCAGAGCCTAGCTCATCCGGAAGGGACCAGCCGCGTGCCAAGTAAAGCTTAAAGAAGCTTGACATCCTGTGAACGAGTGCTGGCCGCCTCATCCAAATCGCTGTTTCTGTTGGCGTTTGATATCCTCAGGATTGAATTTGATGGAGTTGAAGCGGACATGTTTGTAGCGACTTCTCGTTGCTGGCCATCGTGGCTGCTTTTTGGCGAATACGGGGAGAGCGGCACCGCCTCACCGCCTCACCGAGATTGCGCCACGTTTCAAAGGTCCGGCCGTACGCATTTGCTACGCATCGTGGGCCATCTCGAACAGATCTAGCTGCAGATGTAGTGGACCGATTGATGCGTAAGAGGGGCATAAGTAGATCATTGAATAAATACCTCACCCCGCTTCCATCCACATTGACAGACTTCATACAACTTCTACCAACCTCTCACACTATCTAACATCCACAACATACTCACCATGGGTTTCCTCAGCGAATTGATCTCCGACTTCACCAGCTCTGGCAAGCAAGACCAACAACAACAGCAGCAGCAGTCAGGCTACGGCCAGTACCCACCCCAACAGCAACAGCAGGGCTATTCACAGTACCCTCCCCCACAGCACTCTCAGCAACCACCACCAGTCTCACCACCATGGTACGCTGAGTGGGATCAACGCGAAAACCGTTGGATCTTCGTGAACCAGCAGAACGGCGAGCGAACTTTCCAGTACCCCGGACCCGGCTACGCGCAACAACAGGGCAACTATGGCGCTCCACCACCACAAGGTGGATATGGTTACGGCCAGGATGGGTACAGCAATCAGGGCGCATACCAACAGAGCGCATACGACCCGACTCGCAGTGGTCAGCAGCAAGAAGAGAAGAGCGGCGGTAATGGCTGGAAGTACGCCGCAGCCGGTGTCGCAGGTGTTGCAGGTGGTGCACTGCTGATGCATGAGAGCGACAAGATCGGTTCGTAACCGTCCACTCACCCAACTTACCCACATTATCTCTAACACCCCATCGCAGAAGACGGCTGGGACAGCGCCAAAGCCAACGTATCCAACGGCGTCGACGAATTCGGCAACGACGTCAGCAACTTCCCCGAGAACGCCGCGGGCTGGACCGGCGAGCAAGTCGGACGCGCCGAGAACTTTGGCGACGACGTCGAGCAGAAGTGGGATAACGGCGTCCAGGACGTGGAAGACTTCCCGGAGAACGCAGCGGAGTGGACTGGCGAGAAGGTTCAGGCTGTGGAGGATATACCGCAGGATATTGAGAACAAGTGGGATAATATGACGGAGGGTGTGGAGCAGTTTGGTGATAACATGGAGAATGCGTATGATGAGGGGAGGGACGAGCAGAGGTATGATGATGAGTACTGAGGTTAATGAGGAATGGAGAGAATGATATGGAAGGAATGCAAGGCTGAACAACGAAAGTCTAATGTCGATCATCAAATTGGACCGTGTTCGTTGCAATTTGCATTGTTGCAAGGCCATCTTCAAGGCAGAATTCTTCAACCCGACACGTAGACTGTGCGAAGTAACAGCGATTGTAATGCCGAGTACGAGAGCACCGAAAAGAACAGATCAATCTTCTGTTGTCGAAGTAACCGTACGTGGCGTTGGTAGCGAACTCGGGTCCAGGATCCATTGGCGAAACAACACCACAACCCGGCGTAGTCGCTATGACGACGTCAGGATCTGCCTAGACTCCGCTCCAATACACTGCAGCACCAAGTGTATCCGCGCGAATGATGTCTGCGCATTCTTCTTTCATCGCACGCGCTGCACGGGCTTGGCGGTCGGGTTGCGGTCGTAGAAATCGGACGCGGGATGCCTGACGGAGGCGCAGTCGTGCGATTAAGCGTGTCTTACTCGGGTCCCGTTCCAGCATGCGACTGGAAGAACGCGGTGAAAAGTACCCCGCTCGGCTTCATACTGGTTGTATATAGTGGTCGTGGGCTGCCAGCCTTGTGCTTCATATCGCAATCATTCTTTCACCCCGACCTCTACCCTTTCCAGGTCATCCATCATATTTCCATCCTAACGCTACTATATCCGATACAACCATGAGTTCATCGATCCTCTCCAAGGCCTTGCAAGCCACCTCCCTCCTGGCGTCGACAACCCTGGTTGCTCTTTCGATTGCAACGGTCGCCCTCGTCACACACTACAGCGAGTCGATGGATGCAAGCTATCCAGAAGGCAGCTACACATATTACGGACCCGATGGCTCACCTGCACGAAGGGAGTATTGGGAGGAGTATGACGCCGGAAACAGAGACTTCAACAAAGTCTACATGCAATATGTGACGAGCAACGACGTTTGGGTCTTGGTGAGCGGTTGTGTGGGGTTGGTTGCCGGAGTCGTGGGATGGCTGACAGTGGCGTTCATGATGATGAAGGAGAAGGTATGCCGGATTCTCTCCAACCTCTAGAGGCCCTGCTGACAACTGCTCCAGAACCCCAAGACCGCAGGCTCCCGCTTCCCATGGGTACTAGCCTGCTCGATCTTCTTCGGCCTCGCCGCCTTCGCCATGTCACTCACCTCCACAATCATAACCTTCGAGACCAAGAAACGTCTGGAACGCGAGGCATGCATACCTAGTGCTGCATATTCATACTACAACCCATATTTCGACTGCACGCGCGAACTAGCTGCTTGTAGTATATTCAAGATGCTTTCCAGCGGCTATGATAATCACAGCCAACAGATTTGCAGTGAAGCACAGGCGAGCAGGAAGATGTTGATTCCCAGTTTGGTCTGCGCGGTGGTGCTTATCAGCACGTGGATTGCGCAGGCTGTTGTGAGCAAGAAGGGAGCTGATGCTGAGGCCGACAGAAGGGTACAGGACTTGCAGGAGCAGAAACAAGTGCAGTAGGAGAGCTGGAGACGATGTATAAGCGTATGGGATTTGGGAACAGCAAGGAGACGTGGGGTTTCGTGTTGGAACGCGAATGAATCTGAGATCTCGGAGTAAACGATAGATCGCTAGTACGTAGATAGAATGATATCAATGACACGATACTTTGCCAGCCTTTGGGATGTCGCATGCCGAAAGATCCGTTTTCGGCAACGCGACGGAAGCTGCTGCCGCTGCTTGGCGCCCCACTCAAGTCCCATTCGTAATTGGCTCAACACCGGGGCAAGCGCCAAAGAGGGGCTCACCACGAACGCGCATCGGAAGGATGCGCGATCAACACTACACTGTCGAATCGAGGATAATGCCGAAATGAACAACGCGTCGACCCGGTCGAAGTTACAGAACCTCTTATATGGGATGACCCACTTACAGCATTCCACCTTCCCCGTGTGGACTCCGGTTGGAGGTGTTGAGAGCCCTAACCTTTGCCATGGGTAAATGCGCAGCTGTGGCACAGGTACCTCTGTCTTTCGCGCTCGAGCCCGAGGGGTCTTTTCGCGTACTTTGGTTGTATACATTGGGGGGCACAGGTACCTAAGGACATGCCGAGCAAAAGGTCCCGGTCTCTCCAATGCCGTGAATGAAACATTCTCTTTCCATCATGACAAAGTAGGGAATAACCCTCACGAGAATGTTGTCGGTCAGGTACACGTCCCTTGTTGGGCTCATCGGCCTCCTTACCACAGCTACAGCAGCGGCAGTGAGCGTTCGACAGACGTTCCCAGAGTCAAAAATCTATGATTACATCGTGGTGGGTGGAGGACTCAGCGGACTAGTAGTCGCCAATCGCTTGACTGAAGATGTAGATGGTAAGCACAATTCATCTCCATGAAACGGTTTACCTCACTAACCCCGTCAAGTCTTTGTTCTGGTCATTGAGAATGGCGCCATCGACAACAGACCCACGACAAGCGTGCCTTACTTTGCCAACATCAATGCCGAGAACTATTACACCATCACGTCTGCGCCAGAGCCTTTCATGCAGAACAAGACTTGGATGGTGCATGTAGGCAATGTTGTTGGCGGTGGCTCGGTGGTCAACGGGATGCAGTGGGATAGAGGCTCCGACGCAGACTATGATGCATGGGAGCAGCTAGGGAATCCGGGATGGGGGTATGAAGGCCTCGCGAAGTACTTCAAAAAGTCTACTCATTTTGATGGCCCTTCGGAGGCAGTCCGCCAGCACTTCAACATGACCTTCGATGCCAACGCGTACGTGCTCATGTCGATTTCAACTGTACGGTAACTAACCATGGATAGATACGGTGACGGTCCAGTCAAAGTATCTATACCCAACTACCAATACGAAGACTACGTCGACATCATGGGATCGTTCGTATCCAGAACCGACATCCCTCACTCACCCGAAGGTCTCACTAGACCCATCGGAACGTTCTGGACGCCGAATTCCATTGACAATTCCACCAAGCAGCGCAGCCATGCTCGCAGAGCATACTACGACCCAGTTCAAACACGAAGGAACTTGCGTCTTATGACCAATACCCACGTGGACGAGATATTGTTCAAGAACGGTACTACGCTCGCGGCGAGTGGTGTTAAGTATACGTCGAACGCCGACTTCTCGACCGCATCGGTCTTTGCGAAGAAAGAGGTTATACTTGCAGCCGGAGGCGTGTTCACACCGCATCTGCTTATGCTGTCGGGCATTGGTCCGAAGGATGAACTATCTGCTGCTGAGATTGCTGTGAAGAAAGACCTTCCGGCTGTTGGCTCGAATTTCCAGGATCACCAAGCCTTGTACATGCGCTTCAACCTCTCGAACCAGTCCATTCCCAATCCCGACATGCTTGTCACAACACCTGATCCAGCCTTCAACGCCACAGCTGCCGAGCTGTACGGAGCTAACCGTACAGGTCCATGGACCTTTGGACGAGGCAATGCCGCGCTCTTTCTTGCCTTCAAGGATTTCTCGGACAAGTACGCCGACATAACCGCCCTCATCTCTGAGCAAAATGCCACTACCTACCTACCACGACGCTATTCGAAGATCGATACCTTGCTGAAGGGCTTTATGGCACAGCGCAAGATTCTTATCGAGCACTACCTCTCCGACGACGCGGCTACAGGTGAATACCCGATTCAACCCTGGGGTCGCGCAACAACTGCAGTGCAGAAACCTCTCTCGCGCGGTATGCTGACCCTTAACACCACGCACCCATCTGCAAATCCGATCGTTGTCCGGAACGCATTCCAGAACCCAGTCGATAAATTAGTACTTGGCGAGCTCGTGCGCTGGAACAGAAAGCATTGGACCACCGCACCCCTGCTGCAGCGCTATGCGCCCGTCGAAACCGTGCCGGGCGCACAATATCAGACCGACGACGAGATCTTTGACGCGAGCATCAAGGCTGCTGCTTTGGATCCGACGTATGCGCATTCGAGCGGCGCATGTGCGCTGATGCCAGAAGAGTTGGGTGGATGTGTCGATCCGCAGTTGAGAGTCTATGGTGTAGATGGATTGAGGGTGGTGGACGCGAGTATTCTTCCGTTGATACCAGCGGCGCACTTGCAGGCAACGATGTATGCTGTTGCGGAGAAGGCTGCGGACATCATCAAAGGAGTTTGATCAAGGTTGCCCTAGAATAACAAGGGAGTGAGGATCACCGCCGGAGCTCTGAGTCTTACTTTCACCGATGCGCTGCGATGGTTTTCGAAGACAAAGCCGTCGCACTCGAGATCTGGAAGCTAGGATATGAACAATGAGATGCCCTGACCATGTATGTTAGCGGACGAATGTCCAAGGTTGCTCTTGAACAAGCTTCCTCGCGCCCTAGGCATCCTTAGTAATAGCCATCCCAGAGGGGTATACCGCTAACTGTATGTGGTATAGTGCGATGCAAACTTAGAGTGAAAATGTTTCCGACCCTCTGGTTTCCCCCGCACCACCAATCCGCTACGAGCAAAATGACGTGCTCCGTGGCAAGCTGTGCGAAATGCGCCAGAAGTGTAATGATTGCTGACTCGCCTGCGAATTATGGGTAACGTGCTCGTGCTCCGTCGAGAAGTAAGCTTCGCCATGAAAAGCTTCCATGCGCCAGCTCTGAGCTCCAGGTCTTACATCGCATCGCATCACCGCGATAGACCTCGCTCCGACCATGACGACTACCGACCCTGAGAAAGATCCTCATGATGTCGCGGCGGCATCGCCCGAATCCCTGGACCGGATACCTTCCCATCTCGTCAACGAAGATCGCCTTCGACGTTCCCTCAGTGCCCGGCAGGTACAGATGATAGCCATCGGGGGCACGATCGGCACTGGACTCTTTCTCGGGACTGGCAAAGCTCTCGCAACTGGCGGACCAGCTTCGCTACTCATCTGCTACTCGATCGTCGGCTTCATCGTCTTCTGCACTATGCTATCTCTTGGCGAAATGGCTGCTTTCGTCCCCGTCGCAGGCTCCTTCTGCACATTCGCCGGTCGCTACGTGGATGATGCGTTTGGTTTCGCCTTGACGTGGAATTACTGGTTCAACGATGCTGTCAGCACGGCGGCCGATCTTGTCGCTTTGCAGTTGCTGATACAATACTGGAGCGACAGCGTCCCATGGTATGCTGTTGGCATAGCCGTATGGGTGCTGATCGTGTTGGCGAACATCATCAATGTCAAAGCCTACGGCGAGCTGGAGTACTGGTTGAGTCTTCTGAAGGTGGTGACCATCGTCATCTTCATCATCCTGAGCATCGCAGTCAATGCTGGTGCCAACACCGACTATGGATACATTGGAGGCAAATTCTGGACCGCTGGAGATGCGCCATTCGTAGGTGGCATTGGAGGTTTCGCATCCGTTTTCGTGACTGCATCGTTCGCCTACGGTGGAACTGAGTCCATCGCAATCACAGCCGGAGAGACGCGCGATCCAGCACGCGTGCTTCCAAAGGTCGTGAAGAACGTCTTCTGGCGCATCTTGCTCTTTTACATCCTCACGGCTATCATGATTGGATTCAACATACCATACGATTATCCCGGTCTCTCGACGAAGTCATCGCGTACATCGCCTTTCACCATCGCATTCCAAATGGCCGGTTCGAAAGCGGCTGGATCGTTCGTCAACGCAGTGGTCCTCACCAGTGTCATATCGGCAGGCAACCATGCCCTCTACGCCGGCTCCCGCCTGCTCTACACACTCGGAGCGAACGGACATGCGCCCAAGGTCTTCACAAAGTTGACGCGATACCAAGTTCCGTGGATCGCCGTGTTGACGACGAGCTTGATATCCATTGTACTTTTCTCCCTTTCTTTCGTCGGATCGGGCCAGCTATGGACATGGCTACAGAACATCGTGGGCGTCTCGAACCAATTGAGTTGGATATGCATCGGCATCTCTTCGCTGCGTTTTCGCGCAGGTATCAAGGCACAAGGAAAAGAACACCTGCTACCCTTCCGAAACTGGATGTACCCTTGGGGCCCTTACATCTGCGTCTTCCTAAACATTTTCATTGTGCTAGTGCAGGGATGGTCGTCATTCAGCCCCAAGTTTGCCGCCGTGGATTTCGTTAGCTTCTACCTAGAACTTCCCATCTTCCTATTGATGATCGTCGGCTGGAAACTTCTGAAGAAGACCAAGTTTAGGAAAGCGAGTGAAATGGATCTTGAGACCGATGTCTATACGAAAGAAGACATGGAGCCGGTTGATAAGGGTTGGAAAGGGAGGAGCAAGAGAATTGGCACCTGGTTTTGCTTTTGAGGACCCACCTTGCGGCTCAGTACGAGCCTGGGGTCCTGGCCATGCTATACATATATACGAAGAAGCATGTCTTTCTGTACAAGTTCCTCAGGACACACCTAAGAGTTTTCCTTGTCTTTCAAGATCACGCGCTAAAAAGACGATTGCTGGCGAACGTACTTTGACTTCAAAAAGATGGATCGATGTGCGCCATCCGGTTGCAGCACCTTTACCATCAATGCGACGAACCGTTCCAACGAGGTTTCATGTGGCGTCGAAGGGTTCATGTATTGTATGCCTCGGCTGGCGCGTAGCTAGTAGGCCGACTGATGCATATTTTAGCATCCGCTGCGATTTGGGGTGGAAGGATGAGCTCGGAGACACAGACCGTGCCTGCATCAGCTCGACGTTGAGATGACCAGATATTGCAAGGCATCGCTGCACAGTTTCACAGAGCGACGACCGCACTGCAGCCCTGTATCGACCGGCGAGTTTTGCCCGCACATTGAGATCCCTATCGCAGAGATTTGCGGAAGGCTGCATGCACAACCTAGGATTAGGAGGCTCCCAGCCCCGCCACGACGGAACGCCTGCTTGGCAGGCGCCAACCAAACCATGAATGGACTAAGTCGCACTTTATCCGCCTCTCAAACCCCCGGCCCAACGCTGCCCGTGCTCGAAGGCTACGCCCCGCATATCCCCTAAACCTCAATCGTGTTTTCGTGCCTCATGCACCCACTCACAGCCGTCGAACACGACCAGGATGTCGTGATAGTCGGGCGTATCTAAAATGACACGATGGTTGGGGTCCAAAAGACAAAACCCACTTTGCGACGAGGTCGCGGACCTTGAGAGTGTCTCTGTCGCTCTCCTTCCACCGACTTGAGCAGTGCATGCGCTGGGTGCTCTGGTGCTCTGTCCCATACGACACTTTATACACATCGCCATGTTTTCTTTCCTCTTGCGAATGGTCTCTATCAATGTCGCTGCTGCGGCACTGATACATGCCCCAATGCCTGCACCCACAGCTCCTGCAATGCTCCCAAGGCAAGGCCCTGCAAATGGCATCGTGGTTATGGGATACGAGCTCATCGGCACGCAAGACGATAAGCCGGTCTGTAAGTACACTGGCATGCGAGCTCGAGCTCGAGGTGCGCTTATCTGACCTGGCAATAGGGTCGATCAAGACATTTCCTCAGTCCGACGGCTACCTTTTTACAACAGGCAGCCTGTATCAATCGTGCAAAGCGTCATCCGCTTTCGAGGTTGATGGAACCACCACGACCTCCCCTTTACCGAAGACAGGCTGTGAGGCATGGACAAGCTGCTCACATACAACGGTGTATGGGTCTGGAGGTGTGACTAGTACCTGGTGAGTTGAGCTGCATGTCTTCCGCGTAGACTCGGCCATGTTAACCAGCTGAACAGCGACGGAGATTATGGGCTTTGCTACTCGGACATCATGTACACCACTTTTGGCGCTTCCGACGCGTACACGCGTATCTACTGCGATTGGACAGGCAGCCATCCGTTGATGTCGACGACACTGTACCAAGCGCTTCCGGCCAATGGTACGTGACATTGCGCAAACGCTATGTTTGACTTATTATTGACGTGTTGTAGTGGACCCAACGTCAGTCGCGTCCCAACAGGCCGCGTCCAGTACACCTGCATCGAATAGCAATCCGTCCATCTCGGCACCTACCCCATCCTCAACGTCGAACCCGACCGGCGATCAGAATCAACCCCCTGCTGGAATCAGTGGGACAGTCAATACATCCATAATTGCCGGAAGCGTCGTCGGAGGGCTTGCGGTTATCGCATTCGCCGGTGTCGCTATCTTATACATCCTCAAGCGCTCCAAGCGCCACTCCGCGGGGACTGCTGTCCCGTCGAGCGACGGTGATTCTATGAATCCGTATGGCACGCCAGAAATGACCAGAGACGGATACCCTGATGCGGAGGCGTATGCGCATACGGCGACAAAACACGGACACACCATAAATGGAGGCGAACTCGATGGGCAGCATGGCACCGCAGAATTGGGTGGCGTCCCGCTTCACGAAGCAGAGGGCCGGCGATGAGAAATGAAAGCAGGAAGGAGCGCAGAGTAGGCTACGAAAGTGGCCAAGAGGGCAGCGGTGTAGTATTGTATGCAAATGCCTCGGCAGTGATGCGTCGTCTGGTCGGCTTACGTACCGCTGCTAGTTCTCGACTCAAGAGCATTCGAGTGAGACGATCAGCCAATGTCTCAAGACGAAGTCGCCCCGTGGAAATGAATGGCAGCGCACCTACCGGTCGCACGAAGCATGCACTCCTTACTTTGAGTCTATGTTCGACAGTCAGCAAGGCAGCATTTGCGCACTGCGACTAATACTGGCCCTACTGACCCCGAGTCAGCAAGGCAGCATTTGCGCACTGCGACTAATACTGGCCCTACTGACCCCGAGTCAGCGCCCTGAAGTGGCAGTGCTGCTGCGCTTATGTAGGCCTCGCTCTGGTCCCCGCAAATCAAAGCGGTGCTGACATGATCCGGCAATTTAGCCGCTCCATAGGCCAGCCTGCTCACCACATCAACACCGACAAATGTAAATGCTGCGCATACAGCTGACATGAATCAAATTCTGTCCAGTTGCTGTTGTTCTTTTCATACATGCGCTACACGACAGGTGGCCGTAGTCCCTCATTTCCTGCAATGGTTTCCATCGACGTATATCTCACAGTATGATAGGGTACAGCCACGGACGTACGTCTCTACCGAGGTTTGGCCGAACGCAGGTCTTTGAGACTGTGGGTAGTCGGTAATGCTAGCAATCAATACGAAGTGATTCTAGGGACTTCATTTCTTCGAGATTGTTGACTCTATTTCTCTTGCTTCGACTTTGCTTTCTCTTCTTCATCG